TCGGCTTCGATCGAGAATATTTTGCAATTTCTATTCGACCTTCATCACTCAGGACTCAAGCCTTCATCTATAAAGGTCTGTACGGCTGCTATTTCGCATTTTCATGGCAGCATCCAGGGGTCATCTGTTTTTTCTCAACCCCTGATTCGCCGTTTCCTTAAAGGGCTACAAAATTTGCACCCATCGGTTCGACCTGGTATGCCGATGTGGAGTCTTTCTGTTGTACTTCAGGCCCTTACAAAACCTCCATTTGAACCTTTGGCAACAGTAGATTTATGCCTAGTTTCATGGAAAACTGCCTTCCTTGTTGCAGTTACTTCAGCCAGGAGAGCCAGTGAACTCTGTGCTCTATGCATAGACCCACCGTTCTTGAACTTTCACAAGGAAAAAGTCATCCTCCGAATAGACTCCCGAGTTTCTTCCCAAAGTGGCTACACCATTTCATTTGAACCAAGACATTGTCCTCCCTGCGTTTTTTCCATCTCCGTCAACTCTGATTGAGCGCTCTCTCCATACGCTGGATGTTAGGTGCTGTCTAGCTTTTTACAGGTCTCACACAGAAGCGTTCAGGAATTCCAATAGACTTTTTGTCAAGTATGCTGCTCCTGACAAGGGTTTTCCAGTCTCATTTCAGCGACTGTCCAAATGGATTGTGCAGACCATAGTCCTAGCATATCAATTGGCAAAGCTTGACTTGCCCTCACTTCCTAGGGGACATTCTACGTGAGCAGTAGTGACTTCATTAGCCTTTGCAGCAGGGGTTCCAATTCAGGATATTTGCAAGGCTGCAACTTGGGCTGCTCCATGTACTTTTGCCAAGCATTATCAGCTTGATGTACGCGCCCGAAGGGATTGTTCCTTTGGTAGAGCTGTGCTCTCTGCCATTCTTCACTGACGACACCTTCCCTCCTCCAAGTCTGGTAAGCTTGCTAATCACCCATATGTGTGATGCACAGAGGTCACGACGAAGAAGAGCAGGTTGCTTACCTGTAACTGATGTTCTTCGAGTGGCCATCTGTGCATTCACACAACCCACCCGCCGGCCCTGCATGGTGTCGGTGAGTGGACTGTTTTTTCTTATTGTCGGTTCTGTGGTATTCCTACGGTACCGATTTTTTTCTTGCTGTGATGCTGTTTTTTTAATGTTATGGGGCGAATGTCGGTCTTCAAGACTGAGTAAAATGGCGGATGCTCCACTCTATTTATACTGCAGCAGGGAGGGGAGCAGAGCGTTTTCCCCGCCAAAAACCATTAGCTTTCTAATCTTCCGGCCTAGGCACTGTGCAGGCGCAGCACCCATATGTGTGAATGCACAGATGGCCACTTGAAGAACATCAGTTACAGGTAAGCAACCTACTCTACCCTTCTTTCTTTGGAATATGTGCATGGAACTGTCATCAGGGAGACTAGAAAGATGTGAATGTTTCATTATCATCCATGGTATAGTAAGGCACTGTGCTAACATGGTGCGGAGTACAGTGGTACCTCAGCTCACGAACACCTTGGTTCATGAACAAATAGGGTCACAAACAAAAATGTCTGAAAATTTTTGACTTGGGTGGTGACCAAGATTGCAGCCATCTTCCTACCCCCCGAGTGGGGAGATGGCCACGATCACAGCTGCTTTCATGCAGGGAAGGCATGCATGATCAGAGGCGTGCTGCTGCAGGAAAGACGGGAGCAGCAAAGCAGAGCCGTGGGGGAGATGGCCGAGAATCCGCCTGTCTTTTCTGCAGGAGCATGCTTCTGATCAGGCACGCCTTCCCTGAATGAACAAAACTGCGATTGCAGCCATCTTCCTCCCCTCCCCGAGTGGCTAAAATCTGCTTACTCCTTCAGGGAGGACAGGAATCAAGTAGGGCTAGCTAAATGATTTTTATAACTGTATGCTCTTGTGCTGTTGTCTCCACAATTCCCTCTCTTTAGCGTTCTGGTAACTAGTTCTCCATTTCTAGCTGCCCCTGCTATACAGTGACAGTATTTGACACTGTGAGTGTATAACTGGACTGCACGTTCTCTCATTTCTTCAACGTTCTCTTAGATCTTGCAAGGACCCATTGCTACTCCATGTGTACACCTCAAACATAATCAATGAGTCATTGTGAATACACATTGTAGTGACTGAGAATTGCCCTGTTCAGCACATAAAAGATTCATTCATGAAACATTAAGAACGTTTTGTATGAAAGAGTTACTACACAGAGACTTTGATGCAAAAAGATTAAAATCTGTAAAAATGCAGATACTGCAAGAAAGCCTGATGCTTATTCATGTTGGAATTTGTTGAAAGCGTAATAGATATTGGAAGTGCAATAGTGAGAAGAGGGTTTGGAAACACAAATGAGCATTTTCGGAAGGATATGCTATGCTGCTGTGGCTTGTAAAATATGAAGAAAGTGGTTATTGGATTTCAAAGTTTTCCTTCATAAAGAATTGTCATTCTTAAACATTTCAAAAATTATATTTGTCATACAGCAGGGATTTGAAGGGTAATATTTACATAATCTAGCCAATTCACTAATGGGCATCAAGTGAGTTAAAATTATGATGTGCTCTTTAAATGGAACAGCTTGGCTGCAGCAGATAAGCTGACTTTAAAAACCATCCAGTTACTTGGAAAAAGAGGCTTTACAATTGTGAAATGCATTGTTTGCAGTAAGCACAAATGCTAATACTAAATTTTGCAAGAGATACTTTTAAAATGTAAGGTATAAATTCCATGTACTAGTAATAACTGATTTCTATGCAAAACGCAGATTCTGAAGTAGTGGTGCAATCTGTACTTTATTTCATGCAAATGGAAAAATGTGGGCTCTGTATGTGAGAGACTCAGTAATGTGATTTGAGTAGTGACTGGGAAAGAGTTGGGTTCACAGTTCTGTGGGTCGTCACAACTGGCACACTGTGTTCATTTTATATAATTCAGGAAGTGAATCAACAGTCCAACCAAAACCTTCCATATTTTCTTGTCATCTTGTGTCCCACATGATGTGTAATGAAGTCTATATACTTGGTAACAGATATAAAACCATACCACATTACTAAAAAGACAAAAACATACCCCACTGTGTGTAGAACAATATGAAAAGCATTCAGATATCGACTTTTAACATTTATGTTTAAATGTACCTTTGACCACTGGGCCTACTGGTAGAGTCCATATTTTGTATGTGTCTGCCCTGGTGATCAATAATTGCATACTTATTGATCACCAGTGGTATGCACATCCATAAAATGCCTAATTCAAGAATTTTTAGTATTGGGTTACATCCAGACTGTTAGTTTTAATTAGTTCCTACTATAATCAGTAGGACTAATTCATCATAACTTAGATCCTGTTTGATTTCACTACAACACATAGTTCAGTCTGGGTCCAGTCCTTTATCTATTTTAATTCACAGCCCAATCCCACTTGTGTAATGTGCAGAGTTTTCCTATGTGACTCTTTACCAGTTTCATTGTCAGTGCTGTACCCATATCCCCCAATGGCTTTTTCTTCACAAAATGCTCAATTAAGCAACTGCTGACACTAGAAAATTGAATCCCTTTTCCCTCTGTGTAGCTGCTTGAGAAGTCACCTAGGGAGAACCAGTTGACACCATATAAACTGAGCTGTAATTGAAAACACCATTTTTAATTAAAACTGTCATTTCTAGGCTTATTCCTAGTGACGGTCACATTGGGGCAGATAGACAGTTTTGCACAAGCAGCAGTGGAGCTCCCTGATATGAACCTGGCTAAATCTTCCAATAGTTTTAGGGCATTTTCATGGAAAATAATTAAGAAAGGATTATTCTTTAAGGGGCCAAATTGTGCCTTAAAGTTCACCCTTATGGCTAGCAGTGTTAAAACATTCCAGTGCTGGATGCAGAAACACATGGCGTGTGACTTTCTATTATTCCCAGCTTCAAACTCTGTTAGATACAGTATTAGACTTCAACATACTAGAGTTATTGTCCTCTTGAGGTGTAAGGGGGCACAATAACTATTTTCTTTGACTATCAGCTGGTTTTTGTGTTGTAGTTATCACTCCGCATAGGATGATGGCTTGCAGGGACGTGCCTGAAGTTGTGGGTTATTTTTGATCTGAACATGCATAGGATAGCATCTTAAGTATGTTTAGGAGTCTGGCCCAATTCTTAAACAGATGGACTTCAGAAACTGGTAGTCCTTGGATGTCCTAAGGAAACAATGGTGACTATTCTGGGATGGAAAGAGAATTTGAGAATAAATGTTTGAATAAATGAATGTTATTTGGATAATATATGTTACTTCAATTAGATTGCAACTCTTTGATCCTGTACAATGTTTTCTTTTTCTTCAAACTATCAAATTAAAAAGGGGATTTTCTAACGTTATTGATAGGTTGGAAGATTGGTTGAAAAGAACAACAACCTACAAGTCTGGGGAAGCCCTTTTGGGCCTCTTGAATGCAAAATCTACACTTAAAATCAGAAGCATTACTAAAGAAACCATTTTTCCTTAAAATTCTTTAGAATGAAGGCCAGATTTTATCTAAAAGTTTATTTTATTTATGTGTGTGTGTGTGTGTGTTTTGTGTGTGTGTATATATTCATTCAGCTGGATTGAATAGTTGCTCACAAGTATACTGTGGAAAAATGCTCAGAAAATACTTAAGCATTATTTTTAAAATTCTGTGTTAAGGAACATATATGAGTGTTTTGTGCTGCTTAATATCTGGTGGTTAATGGAATCACAGCACTTGCTTCTATTCCACTTTAGTCCCTGATCATTTTGACAGTGTTGAGGATATGGTATCTTCCACAGGAAAAAGAAGCTTCATCCTGGTAAATGGGAGGTGTTAAAATGTATGATCTAATGGCCTGAATAAACTAGGGAATTTTGAAGAGAGAAAATGTCAGGTAATTAGTCAAAGCAAGACTTTAGTGTTGCTAATAAAAACAAACATTTATTTCAGCTGCTCCATCTCACTGGTTCAGCAAAGTCCTAATTAATTCCCTTTATAATTTCCTTTGCAGGTATATTTACATCCCAATGGGAGGATCCCACTGCAGCATGTTTAAGATGATGCTTTCCACAGCAATCACGTTCGCTTTTGTGAGCTACTGGCATGGTGGCCATAATTACCTCTGGTCCTGGGCTGTGCTTAACTGGCTCGGAGTAACTGCTGAAAGTGGAGTGAAGAGGTTGCTTTCTCTTCCAGTTGTCCATGACTTAATTGTAAGTTAATGCCTTTTCATGTCTGCAAGATTAAGCTTTAGGTGTCGGGCTAGACATTGATAATAATGCCTTCTAATAATGAACTGAAATGGGGAGAGCTGTTGTGAACTGCCTAGGCTGCCCCAACATCTAAAGAGCAATATTCAAGTTTGGAACTGGCAGCTCTTTAGTGCTATACAGCACAGAACAAGTTGCACTTGTTATTATGCTGTCAAACAAATGAGAAAAGCTAATTTATTTTATCCATTAACATCCTGAGAGAGTCCTTTTTTATAATAAGTTTTATTCAAAATAACCCTAAAACAAAGGAAAACTAAAAGCAACATCAGTCATCAGAAACATCGGACCTTCTGGGTCAGCCCCCACATTTTTTCTATTTATGATAACTTAAAAACATATTTAAATCTATACGAAGTCCTGTTTCTCTAGCCAGTAATAAAGAGTCCCAAGTTTGATAGAAATCAGTATCTTCTTTCTTCAGTGACAAAGTCAATCTGTCCATTTCTGCACAGTCCAAGATCTTTTTTAGAATCAGTTCATCGGTGAGTGGTTCTTCACTTTTCCAGAGTTGAGCAAATGCTATCCTCGCCGCAGTAATTACATGTAAAATCAAGTACATTTCTTGTTTACTAATATCAACAGGTATAATGCCTTATAAGAAAACTTCAGGTTTAAAAGCTAAGGATTTTTGTAACATTTCCTCAAGCCATTTATGTATTTTAATCCAATACTTTTTCGCATTATCGCAAGTCTACCACATACGATAGAAAGTACCCAATTTATGTTTACATTTCCAACATCCATTTGACATATTTGGAAACATCTTAGCTAATCTATTTGCTGACAGATACCATCTATAAAACATTTTATACAGGTTTTCTTTATATGACATTGCTAAAGTTACCTTAATATTTCTCTCCCACAGCTTTTGCCATTTTTCTAATTCAATATTATATCCAAAGTTTTGTGCCCATGTTATCATAGTTTCCTTAACCTGTTCATCTTCCATTCTCCTATCGAGTAAGAAATTATATAGTTTTTTAATCATTTTCTCATCTGATTTAAGCATCACCTGATCAAATGCTGTTAAATCTTTATAAAAGCCCCACATTCTATAGTCTTTAGCATATCTTGATTGTATCTGCAGCTTATGCCACCAAGAAATATTAGATCCTTGTTCTTGTATTTCTTGATTCAATTTCAATCCTCCATCATTATCCAAAATGTCATCATATCTTACGATCACTTCAAAGTTCCAAGTTATATGCATTTGGATATATAAGAGCTTCCATAGGTGAAAGCCATCTTGGTAATTTATTATACAATTTTGTCTTTAACTTTTCCCACACCAACATTAATGATTTCCTAATATAATGACTTAAAAAGAGCGAATAAAGTCTGTTAGATATTTCTTCAATCTTTCTGCCGTTATGGAGGGAAAAATTTTGTAATCCACATTTAATAGTGATACAGGTCTGTAATTTTGAATCTGCGTCAAGTCCGTGTCTTCTTTCGGTATTAATGTAATGTTTGCCTCTGTCCAAGTGTTTGGTATTTTAGCATTTAACAATGCTGCATTACATACATCCTTAAGAAGTGTAGCAAAAATTCCTTCAAAGGACTCTGCTGGTAACCCATCCCGGCCAGGAGTTTTATCATTCTTTTGTCTCTTAATTGCCTCTATTACTTCTGTGATTGTTACTTCTTGATTCAATACTTTCTGGTATTTCTCTGATAACTTTGGCAGGTCTCCCTTTCGGATATGTTTATTTACTTTCTCCGTTGAAATCTCATCATTCTGGTATAGATTTGCAAAGAAATCTTCTGCTATTTTCTTGATATGTAGACTTTGTACTTGCAGTCGTCCTTCTCTATCCTTCAATTTACTTATTAGTCTCTTCTCTCTTTCTTTCTTTACTTTATAGGCTAACCATAACATCCTGAGAGAGTCCTTAGTGGTTTTAAAAACTTACAGATGGCTGTGAAATCATTTAGGGCAGCATTTCCCAGCCTGACCTCTTCCAGAAGTGTTAGACTACAACTCTTCAGTCATTGTGGATGATGGGAGGAACATATCTGGAAGCTGCAGGCTTGGGGAAGGCTGATTAATGGGCATAAAATGTCATCATCAATGGCCCAGGTGAGGGTTGTGGCACCCCTGGCTGACAGCAAGAAGTGCTAGTTGGAATATGGCACAGATTCATGCTAACATTCCTGTCACACTTCCGGGTTACTTTTTTCTTATCCCTTTAATCAGTAGACTAGAGCAAACCATTGCAAGGCTATGCAATGTGAGATGCTTTAGAGTGGTATTTATTTATATTTTGACATGATTTGTGGCACACTGGCTACAGAGGTCAGTCACCAGTAATTTAGAGCAAGAAAAAATATTAACTCTAGTGGTGTACAAATTTTGTACAACACTGGAAACCTCAGACTTCACAGATGCAGGGAGATCTACTGAAGACCTAATGGTACTTATAGGTTTTGTCAGATTTTATTTTTATATTCTAAATTATTTAATACTCTGTCCAGGCATGCCACACTGGTTTGGGAGTGGGTGGAGAATTACCATATATGACTCTTGGAGCGGCTGTGTGACTGGGCAGCATATGGATCCTTAACAGTGACAACTGTTGAAATATAAGAAATTAAATGGGGCTGTGTTTTCTCATTCCTTTACATTTCAATTGGTCCTGCATAGTGCAAAATGCAGCATGAGAAATAAGATGGTAAGCAGCTGAAGGATGGATAGTTCTCTAGCCTAGATAGTGTACAGTTCTGTCTTCCCCGTTTTTTGCATTTTCAGAGCAGATAAGAATGAGATAATTCATTAATTAGACACTGTATTGGGGTCTCTCACCTCAAGTGGGTAGGTGCTGACCAAAAGCTTTTTAATATTTTCAGATATTAAAATCAGCTTTGGAATGCAAAATCTGCAGATTAGAGATCTAATCTAATAATATCTGCAATATTAATCTAATAATCTAATATCTGCAACAAAGGTCTGGATCTTACATTCCAATCAGGCCCCACAGCATCAGCTCACTTACCTGGGCTCCACACTCCAGAATCTCCAAGTCTCCCATATTTTCCTGGTGTGTCCACTCTAACATCATAGAAATGTTAATGGAAGGCTATGGAATATTTCCTTTTGGCTGCCAAAATCTTACTTTCTTCTGATCCTTTAAAAAAGAATCTTGTTGCCAAGTAAGAAAACATTTTTATTGTTGAAGGAGTAGAAGAAAACTGGCAAGAGGATTGTGGCAGGGTAGGATTGTAGAGCAGAATTTGTTAAACTTTTGTTCTCATCTCAAAAGCAATCATGCCTGCACTACTGTGCAAACTAACCATGTGTTAAGCCCATTGAAGGCACTGATTAAGAGCTGGACTACAAGCTGATGTGAAGAACTATCTAGGGTACCTGTTTGTCAGTGGAGAAGACAGGTGAGAACTGCTGCTTCAGACATGCAGTCACTCTCATACTTCTGCACCCTTATCTGAAAGGAGGACCATGGAAGCTGCCTTATTCTGGGTCAGATCTTTCGTGCATCTAACCCAACTGTCAACATTGATTGGGCTAGATGACTGGCAACTGCCCTCCAGCCCCACCTGGAGATGCCAGGTTTTGAAACTGGGATTGTCCGCATGGAACGTATGTGCTGTACAACTGAGTAACATCCCCTCCCCAACACTGGCAGCCCTGTGTGTCTGAGTCTTAGAGCTTTGGAAATTTCAAGGGAAGAACTCAAGTCAAAATCCAAAGACGGGCCTGCACTAGATCATCAGGGCTCAGCTGTGCTAGTGGCAGTACTAGGGGAAGCACAATTCTACCCCATAGCTATTGGTGGTGAAACCTCCACTGAAGAAATACAGTATAGATTTTTTGCTATGTAAGAATTGTTGTGCAACTTGTATCCTATCTTGAAATTTATTTTTTGATTTGATTTATGAAACCTCATCCAGTAGTCCCAAAGAGGACTCTCTGGGCAGTGTACATCCATCAATAATATATAAAATTATATAATATATAGTAAGTAAATATTTTAAAAACTATTAAAAACATAAACTAACTCTGATATTTGCATGACCAACTAACCATCATAAGTATGAATCAAGGTGTATCATCTTTTCTCCATCTGTATAAGACATGTTTTGATATGATAAAGGCCTGCCTTTATTTATGTATACAACTTTACACTTCCGGTGTGTGGAAATGGTGGCACGGAATACTTCTTATTCTGACTCTGTGATGAAGCAAAGACTTACTGAAATTAAAAGCAGACTAGTTGATATTTAAAGTATCATCAATGTCATCTGAAGTAATTCATATTGAAATAGGTGTTCTTCTTCACTGCAGTGTCAGGGTCTACACAGTTATAGTCATTACCATATTAGTTACATATTTTGAAGTTTTGGGAGCTGGGAGTAGTAACATACAGGTACATTTTCTTTGAGAATTGAAGGTCTTTCTTCCTCAAGATGCTATTTCATGCTTATCTCCATCCATTACAAGGCTGATATTATTGAACTGTCACTTCTAATGATCATCTGGGGAAAATAATGGCCATGGTTGATTATGCATGCAGAGCACCAACAGGTAATGAATCAAATAGAGGAGTTGCTGCTTGCACAGAGCTTCATGTGTACATGAAGAACGCCTGTGTATGCTGCAGTTCAGGATAGCTGGATCCACAGATATAGTCTTCACTCCAGGTTAGCCCATCAGGAGACTGTATATATAAGGCCCTTCATCCATGCATCCAGAATGAACCAGGCAGCTTGCACCCACACTGAATCCTTGGGAGAACAGAAATTAAAAGCAGCATGTATTTGCTATTGCATACATAAGCAGATACTCTTGTTAAACAGAAGGACCACTTTACCACAATGACTTCCCTGCTTCTAGTGGTGTAAAAAGCTAACATCAACAAAACTACATGTAGATGACTCATCTGAGAGGTTGGCTGAAATCCATTGCAATTGAAAAGCCTGCTCAT